CTTCTTGAGGATGTAGTAGTGGCTTCACAGACTTGTGGTTTTCTCTTCCATCTATGGATAAATATCAGTATTTCTGCCGCTTGGAAATCATCACCTGTTCTTTTCTATGAATTGTCATTTCACTGGAAGTTTATCAGAAATCAAAGACAAATGTGCTTTGTGGAGCTGTTGGAGACTGGAGTGGCCACGGCCACATAACTTGATGTTGCTGTCAAAAGAAAATATGACCATTAGAGTTATTTCATAGAGCCCTGAAATTGCCTAAGAATCCATCATATGACTTACTATTCATTACAGGAACTGAAATATTTTCTACGAAAATCTGGAAAGATGAACTTTATGCCAGTTGGCCAACACTTCCTGGGATGGCATGATGGAGTACTACTCTTTCCTTTATATGTTGTTTTGCTGTTATTTTTAAAAAAGCATATGTTTAGAATCAAGGAAAAAAATCTATTTTTAAACTAGAACATTTAAAGATTTCTTCAAAAAGTCCTATGAACAATGAATGTTGCAGTTTTGTGCTTGTTGACTATTTTGAAATAAGTTGTAGTGGCATAGCATCTTCTCAATGGTATATTTTAGTACCTGTTAGAAATAGCTACCACACTCAGAACTCAGCAATGGGAGTTTGTTCATACAATGAATCATTGTTAACTAGTTTGCAATTAGAATGTTATCTCCAAGCATTAATTGGTCATTCCTCAAAACAACTCATGAGGAAGATGGACATAATTAACCCTGTTTAAAATTGTGAACAGTCAACTGTACTCACAGTGCCCTATAGGGGAGGTAGATCTTCCATTATACAGTCATGACTGCTGGCCATTGGGCCAAGTCACAGGGCCAGTACCCACTGTAAACGGAGCTGAAAAAGTGATGATTTTTTTTTTTAATTGTGATTTGGGTGAAGGTTTACAGAGCAAACTGGTTTTTCACTCAACAATCCATACACAGGTAAGGTGATAATCAAATATATACTGAATATCCATTTATGCACCAGGCTCTGTGTGTGAACTATGAATAGGTGTGGGAGCAAGAATTTAAAGA